TCCTGGATGTTCCTACCCTCAATCCCCAAAACTCTATAAGCCTTGAATCACACTAAGTTGATCTGGCTGCTGATTGTTGTTCCCGGTGTGGTCATTCACTGTATGTACTCACAAGGCTTCTGAACCTTCCTATCTCCCATCCCCATACCCACTGTGATCCCTTTGCCTTTGTGGACCAGTTCATCAGACAATCCACGAGGCAGGGAGACCCACAGCTACCCTAGGCTATATAGCAGGTTGCAGGCCAACTTGAACTACATATAGATACTTGCTCCAAAAGAGAGGGTGGAGATGCCTAGATGTATGACTCAGTGCTTGCCAAACAAGCATAAAGATCTGAGTTCAATCCCCAGAGCCCACATAAAACAGACAGGCATGGGAGCATGCCTATAATCCCAGCATTGAGGATGGGGATAGAGGGGAATCCCTGGGGTTCACTGGCCATGCAGCCTAGCTAAACTGGGGAGCTCATGGTTGACTGAGAAACCCTGTCTCAAGAAATAAGAGAGTGAGCAACTGAGGAGGACACCTGATTTCTACCTCTGGGCCCCACATGCACATGCATGCATATCCACTTGCCACATACATGAACATACATTGGGGTAAGGCACACAGAAAGACAAACAGTAAGAAAGAAGAGAGATAGGGACATGGGGCAAGTAACAGGTATGGGGAGGAAGGAAAGGTGAGCACATGATCCCATGAGCAGGCACATCAGACGGAGCAAGATTGTACGCTGAGAAACTGAGAAAGCTATAACTCACCAAGTTATACAGATATTAGGTTTGAGCTGAAAGACAGTTCTCCACTTGTATGATCTGTACTCCAGCATCCTTCGCATAAGACCCTAGCAGTTTACCTGATGCAGACCAGTCTGGCCTCAAACTCACAGTAAATCTACCTGCTTCTGCCCCCTCAAATTCCGGGACTAAAGGTGTGTACCATTATATGTGGGCTTGTCTCAGAATTCTCAGCAGCTGGAACTACAATTGTTGCACACCATTACACCCAGCTTGACCCCATAATTTTAAATGACAATGTCCCAATTTCATTTCCAGTTTCTGTGACAAAATGTCTTGACAATTAAAACTGAACATTAGCAAGAAAGTTTCATATTTTCCCACAAAGCAGCTCAGCATACAGGAGGGATGGGATTGACTGCATTTTTAGGGTTTTTAATTTTTTTTTAATTATTTCTCAGCTGTATATGGAGATGCAAACCTGTAATCTCATCATTCAGGAGGCTGAGACAGGAGGATCATAATTTTGAAATCAATCTAATACATATAATAAGTTCAAGACCAGACTAATCTCCAAATAATAATAACAGTAATAACAGGGCTAAGGAAATGGCTCAATTAAAAACCTTACATTCATAAGGACCTACATTCTAACTCAAGAACTCATAAAATGTCAGGTGTGGTGGTACATTTATAATTCTAGTTCTGGAGAGGCATATATAGGATGTCCTCGGGCTCACCCACCAGCCAGCCTAGCCTAGTTGGTGAGTTCAGGCTAGCTTGGGCTATTCAGCAAGACAAAGCATCATGCTCTGCTTCACAAGTCTAGCCTTGCTTTAACCAAAATGGTGTATTAAGAGGTGTTGCTTTAGCTTTTCCTGGAGACTTGAACAATCATCTGTTTACTCCCAACAGGGTACCAACAACAGACTGAAGAAATGGTCCCCAGGCCCCAGGTCTGACTTGCCTACTTACAGGTGCATGGATGAAGGAGTATCCACAACAGCTCCTCCTTTGGGCTTCTGTCAGGCCTTGAAGGTAGTCTCCTGACCACTTATGAGCCCTTCCTTCCCTCCAAGGCTGTGTGTTAGTGGGCCCAATCTTGTGAAGGTCTCATCGGTAATCACAGCTACTCTGGTTTTAAGACTGCAACAGTTCATTCATGCATGAACAAGATTCCACAACAAAAGGAATTCCTTGGATTATTTTTTTAAAAGATCTACATAAGAAAAAAAGCTAAAGTCAGTATCTGGTGTGTCTCTGAATTCAGTACCTAATTTAAAATACTATATTAAGGGCTGGAGAGATTGCTCTTACAGGGCCCTCGACGGAGGCAGGTCCCCAGACCTTAATACAACTGACTCCATTATGGAAATATCATCCAGGCTCTGAAACTAAGCACACAGGCAGCACCACCTGCTGCAGGATATTTGAACACACTGTGAACCCAAGATTCTGTTATTTACTGGAAAACCCTGTTTTTAGTTGTGATGTGGCTCAGCCTTAGCACACAGCTTTAATCCAACAGCTTTCTGCTTCAATATTGTAAACAGGATTAAATAAAGTCAACCATAGGTCAAGAATTGGAGCAAGCACCCAGTTGACAAAAAGTGAACATGAGGTTATTAAGAAAAAAACCCATAGAGAGTAAGAGGGAGTCAGGGGATGGATAGAGAGACACACAGGAAGTAGAAGGGGGGGCATTCAGTTTGAAGGTTTTTAGAGATATGAGAGAGGGGATTTGTTCTGAGATGTCAGCTGAAGAGGAAAGTCAGCTGGGTGCTTTCTCTCCCTCTCTGAGCTCTGGTCTTTCACCCCAGCAATCTGGCTCCTGAGTCTTCATTAGTAAAATCAAACAATTCAGATTTCGTTAAAAACAGCTATCTGCCAAAACTAAAACAAAGGCCTAACCCAACAAAGTCCATAAAGTTCTGGGAAAGTCTCAAAATGTACTAACCTTGCTTTTTAGCTTCTGTAGTTCTATCTGGCTAACTGCTCTTCTTAACTGAAGTGTGTCAAACCAGAACATAGTTTTTGTATTTAAAAGCTGGCCCTGAGAAAGGCTCAGCGCTACACAGGGATCCCAAACACTCATGTAGTTGCTGGCCAGCTAATAAAGATTGGGTTTTTTTATTGGCTTAAGCCCATGTCTGAGCAGTCTTCTCTGATGGATAACCTCACAACAGCTCAGCCATGAGGATTCGAGTCCAGATCCCAGCACTCAGGTCCAGAGGCTCACGAATGCCTATGACTTAAGCTCCCATAAGCCCAACACTCTCTGCAGGCACCCTTGGACACTTATGTCAGCATAAACTTACACCAACACATGTACACATACATAAACAAAATTTTAAGTAACACACAAAAATTAGCATACAGAGGGAAATTGAAGGTACAGAAAGTAATGGGCTCCTTGTCCTCCACCACTGGGTGAAAGGCAGCCCAGCTACGGAGCAAAGGATCCCAGAGACTCTAATACCAGAATACTCCTGACTAGTGTGGAACTGTGAGCCACTCACTTTTTCCCCTTTAATCTGAATTAAATCATCAGTTAAACGCTAGGTTCCCACCTCACCACTGGGCTGTGAGGCAAACCTCAGCCATTACTTTACTTTCCCAAGGAACACCTACTCATCCAAAGCACCAGTTCAAACCTCACCATCTCCTTGAAACCTTCCTACATGAAGCCAATGTCAGAAGTCAGCTCAAGACACCCCAAGACCATGTTCTCAGCACAGAGATGTATGTGCCCCAGAGGGACAGAGAACAGGGATTGCAGACAAAGTCAGGAGCGAGAAGATGAGGGCAAAGCGAAAGAAAGCAAAGGAGTGGGGAGGAGAAGGGTAAGAAATATTTGGGGAGGGGGAGGGGAAAGGACAAAGGATTATCTCTGGATAGAGAGGAGACAGATGTGGTAGATGGGCAAATGGCAGTTTATAAAGGTAAAGGGGAAACCTCATGTTAGGATGTGTTTAATTTTAATTGGACATGTTAATTAGGTGAGCCAAAGTGGACTTTTGATTGCTGGACTTCAATACTTTGATAGCTGGATCTTGGTAGTCAGCCTCAGGAGAAAGAAGTGACTAAATGAGGAAGTAGACCTTGGTGACTAGTGTTAGGAATGTAATCTAAAAGCTTTTAGCAAGACAGAGGGAATTGGGGAGAACATGCCCACCACGCTGGAACTCGTTAAGAGTTCTTTCACTACCTTTCCTGGCTCAAACAGAAATAAGGACTCTACCCTCTGGAATTCAAAGAGAAATGTCTATCATGGGGTTATTTGCTTGCTTTTAGTTTCTCCAGAAGCTAAAGGAGTTGGAAGCTGAGAACTGGCAACCACTCTAAGTTCAACGAATGTGTACATGACCAAAGAGTGAATAAAAGCTAGGCTGCAGTTCCGGCTTCTGTTCTTGCTTCACACGTGGTTCTGTCAAGAACATAAAGTTTGCCCTTCTAGTAGTAAATGATCTTGGGATGTAAAACCACAAGCAACACAAATATGTGGTGGTACTTCGATGAAAATGTAAAAGTTTATCCTTTCAAAAATGTTTATTTGCACTGAGGCGTCTTCAATAAAAAAAAAAAAAACAAAGACGACGGTTTTTAAAGCAACTCAATGAAAATAAGCTGAACACTTTGTTTTACTTTTTAGTAGTACCTGATCCCTTAAGATGCCCAATAAATGTTTGCTTTTTAAAAGAGATCTACTTACTATTTTAAGTAATAGAGGTCTTTATAGAACAATAGAAATATTTATCTGGGACCCAGATGAGGGAAAAGATGAGCAAAAGAGGGTAGGCCGAGTCCCGTGTAGCTCCAGACAGGTTAGTTTGGCTGCTTTGTAACATTTCTTTCAAAAGTTACCACACTGTTAAGAGTAAAGTGCATTCTGAGGTCGTACAGCTCCCCTTCCTTGCTTGGTCTGAGTTTTCTAAATGGTGAGTGGAGACCTCTTTTCCACAGCAGCAAGCATTTCGATCCTGCGCTGGAACCCGAAAGAGGTACTGTGCTGGGGTGCGGCCTCACGGGCAGGAGTCAGGAGCACTCAAGGAACGAGCACAGATCCCGGCAGGTGAGAGAGGACTTCGGACTATTAGCTCACCACAGCTCCACCGCGCAGGCGCGGACGCCTGTATCTTCCGGCAGACGCCGACCTAAGAAGATCGGAACCAGGCTCCCAGGGCATAGGAGCGACGGATGAGATTAGCTGAAGTACCACCCTCGGCCAGGCCGAGCCGATAGGCGGAAGTGGAGGGCTGACTGAGCTGGGGGAACTTTGCCTGGATGGCACTTTCCTGTTCTACAGTCTGTCCCTGCTGGAGGGGCTCGGCTCTGAGATCCAAGATGGAGTTGTTGAGTCGAGCTGAGCAAGAGATGAGTCTGGCGGCCTTGAAACAACACGACCCCTATATCACCAGCATCGCAGACCTCACGGGCCAGGTCGCCCTGTACACTTTCTGCCCCAAAGCCAACCAGTGGGTGAGTGAGGCCCAGCCGGGGAGATCGCCAGCCTGGCCGCTGCCGCCTCTTAAAGGGACCGCACAGACAGCTTAGGATTGGGGGTGGGGGAGTGAAGCAGGAGACTAGGACTGCAAAGGTGAGGCCGGAACCCCTCCCAAAGGCCGGTCCAGAGCCAAAGAGGTGACAGGGGCAGGCGGAATTGGAAGAATGAAGCGGAAGGAGTAGACCAGAGTCGTAGCGGGGAAATCGGATGGAGGAGAGGAATGAGGCAGGGTCAGTCCTTTGGGGGTCGGTTCTGGGGACTTGAGGTTGCATTGGCAGGATATCAGACAGGTTAATTTTTTTTTTTTTTAACAAGTGATTGAAAACCTGTGTTTGAGACTTTGAGGACTATTAGATACATCACATGTACTTGATAGCAAAATCCTCTCCTCTTTCCCTACCGACCTAAATCATGATTTTGGATTTGAAGCTTAAAAATCAGTTTCAGGAGTTAGTCCAGCTTTAGTCGAACTACTTGTATCACCAGAGTTTGAGGAAAGACTTCAAGGCTATCTCGCTAAGAACTGGATTCCTTGGAGACGTTTGCAAGAAAAAGAGACCAGTGATAGGCCCTTTGATGGCTCACTTCTGAGTTCTTTTTGGATTTTGTGAGTGGCATGGAGTTGCAGAAGTTACGTTGTTTAGTCACTGATTCTAGTTAACCTCAACTTGAAGCACCTGTTTACGTTCCATTTTCTTGTGATCGACTTTTCCTAATTCAGCTATAAAAATTTCACACTTTTATTTAGTTTTAGAACATTAATGCACTACACCTGTGCTTAAAACCTGACTAAACTCTTGCAGCAAAAGAAGGAGTACTAATGTTATATTTTCTAGTTTTATTTCTTGTAGTACAGAACCCAAGACTTGCTGATGTTGGGCAGGCACTGTTCCTCTACCATTGGGCTACCCAACCCAGGTTACAATTTCTTAATCACATTTTCAGGTGTTTATTTTAAAAATCTACCAGATTTGCCTAAGGCAGAGAATGTTTTTCTATCCATGATACTTAACAAAGTTCTGAAAATAATAAATTGTGTTTGGTAACCACAAAATGTATAACTCATGAAACTATTCCTGAATTCTCCAGAAATGAAACAAAGTATTTTATAAGAAAGTTTCCCGAGGGTAGGGATTTGTAGGGATTGAGCGCAGTGGTACACAGCTGTGCCCACTGCGTCATGAGCCTCAGGCTCTTCAACCCTGGTATTAGTTTTGAAGAAAGTTTCTTTCTTTTTCCTTTTTCTTTTTTTCTTTTCTTTTTTTCTTTTTTTTTTCTTTTTTAGGTTTTTCGTGGCAGGGTTTCTCTGTATAGCCCTGGCTGTCCTGGAACTCACTCTGTAGGCCAGGCTGGCCTTGAACTCAGAAATCCACCTGCCTCTGCTTCCCAAGTGCTGGGATTAAAGGTGTGCGCCACCACTGCCCGGCTTGAGGAAAGTTTCTATTCTTTTTGTATAAACTTAGATAGACTGCTTGTTTATTTTATTTTGGTTTCGTTTTTTGTTTGGTTTTTGTTTTTAGTTACAATACACAATATCTTGACTGGAATATTAAGATACCTAGTTGAAAGGTTTTCGTGTTTGCAAAGATAAAGCTGGGGACAGAGACATGGCTCAGTAGTAGCTAAGAGCATCTGTTGCTCTTCCCGAGGACCTGGCTTAATTTCCAGCACCCCCATGATGGTTTCTATCATCTGCAACTCCAGTTCCAAGGGATCCAATGCCTTCTGCTAGCCTCTGTAAGCTCCACTCACTTGTATGTTATAAAGACATGTGTGTGCTGACAAAACATTCCTGCACCTTTTTTTTTTTTTTGGTTTTTCCAGACAGGGTTTCCTGGCTGTCCTGGAACTCACTCTGTAGACCAAGTTGGCCTCGAACTCAGAAATCCGCCTGCCTCTGCCTCCCAAGTGCTGGGATTAAAGGCGTGCGCCACCACCGCCCGGCTTCCTGCACCTTTTTTAATTGAGAAAAAAAAAAAAGCTTAATACATAAAAATAATAAGTAAAGTTAATTCTGTTTTCTTTAAATTTTTCTCACTGGTGAAAATAGACATATGCTACAGATATAGACATTGTTGGATTGGGCATTGTGTACACTTACATAAAGGCTTACAGGGTTGAGTGGATACACAATTTGTTTAAATTTTTAAAAAGTGACTTGCTTTAGCTGTTCAAAAGTGATTAATTTGGAGGCTAAAGAGACACCTCAGTGGATGAAGTGCTTGCCTCTCAAGCATGAGACCCTGAGGTGTTCACATAGGAAGCTGGGCGTAGTAGCTTGGACTTAGAATCCTACACTGGGGATATGGAGGCACTTATGACCCAACACTGGAGCTCACTGACCAGCAAGCGTAGCTTAATTGCCCATCTTCTGGCCAGTGAGATCCTTGACTCAAAAGAAGGACCGACACCTGAGAGTGACCGCTGGCCTCTTCACAGTTATACACAAGCGCCTGCATTCATTCACGAGAGCACATATACGATTGATTTCACAGTAAATAACACAAGTTGGCCTGAAAATGTTGATGCTTCACTGAGATCATTTGGCATTGGATTATTCCTGGAAAATTAACAGAATTATTGTGTGTTACAGGAGAAGACAGATATAGAAGGCACATTATTTGTATACCGAAGGTAAGTTTCTTAAGGATATGTTTCTATTTCACTTGAATAGTGGTGATCATTAGCATGTAACATGGTCCATTTTTATTGTGTAATTGTCTTAGGAACCTTCCTGTTTGTCTTCTTCCAGTTTTCCTCCATCTAAGCAGTGTAATCTTACTGCAGCTGCTTCTCTTCTCAGAGCCTGGGAAGATTGGCTCAGGATAGAAAGCCTTTTTAAATTAATGCATCTCAAAGAGAAGCCTGCCCAAAAATCCCATGTTAAAAAAGAATGCATACATATGAATATGTATGAATACAGTATAGTACAGTAGCTATAGTTGAGACAGCACTCTTGCTGGTCTGTAGCTTCTGATGAGAGTTTGTGTTCTATGGCTGGTTCTGACCCTTCTTGCTTCTTTCCCAAAGTTCTATGTTATTCCTAATTCATATATATTTTACTTTAAGCTCCTCTGAAAATTAATTCTTTAAACTGTTGGTTTGTAAAGGTTTACAACTTTACCTCGTTCGGCAACATAGGGGCCTAAAGGATGAGACAAGTCATGAGGCCCTTGTATTCCTAGATACCTACAGCTCTTGTTCTTAGAGGCAGGTCCTTTCCCTTGTGTTCTAAAACTTAGAGTGGCAGCAGCAAGGTTACAGACATCTGGTTCTTTTTGTATGGAGTTCTTTTTTGGACAGCCTTCCTCCATTGGTGCTAATTTATAAGAATTGAGTGCTACGAATGTTAGTATAAAGCTTTGTGATCTTGTCTAAATATGCTTTCCCCTTTAAATACAATTGTTTCGATGTTTGTATGACAAGCTCATCTTTCTTTGATACTGTTTTCTCTACTTTTTTTTTCCTTTTCTAAAATAAAAAAGGTCTAACTCCAACCTCACCATTACGATACAAGTCTCTAAGAACCCCTAACTACTAGAACAGTACTGTCTGTACATTCAGGGATATTTGTAGGTCTAATTTTTGAGCAATAACTGTTGCGCCCTTAACATTTAGTGTTATTTACAGGTCTAATTTTAACAGACTAAAACAGATCTATTAATTAGAGGAAGTGTGAACTTTGGTATAGAATGTCATAATGTTACTTTTACTTTGCAGGAATCAAAAAAGAAAACTGGATTTGGAGTTTTTAATTGGTGTGACTTTGGACAAGGACCTTAATTCTGTTAAGCTTGTTTCTTAATCTGTAGAGCAGGATTTCATTACCTCCCCATGATATTACAGAAACAAATGAGAACTATGAAGTGTTAGGTTGACAAGTATTCAGTGCATTGTGTGTTGAATCCCCTTGGTAAGGAAACTAAGAGCATTCTTACTATAGAAGTCAGGTCCATCTAACTCAAGAAAAACGTACAAAGACCTATTTAATGTAAGAAAAGTTACTGCTGAAATGAGTGGCAGTCATAGACAGACTTGTACCATAGTTTTTAAAACCTGGTGCTGGTAGCACATGCCTTTAAATCCCACACTTGGGAGACAGAGGCAGGTAGATCTCCAAGTTCAAGGCCAGCCTGGTCTACAGAGAAAGTTCCAGGATAGCTGAGGGCCACACAGAAAGACCCTGACTCAAAAAACTAGAGAAAAAAAAAAGAATGTAATTCTTCTAGCAGTTTATTACATGGTTATATCAATCTTGGTTTACAAGTGTAATAAAAAAAAAAAAAAGTGAGAAATCCTCAATTCCAGGGAGCTTCCATTCTAGTAGTGGGGCAAAGACAAGTTAGAAAATAGATGAGTATTGGGGTGAGATGAAGTTTGAGCAAATATTTGCTGAAGAAGAGATGCTGGCGCCAATTTGGGGGCCACAGTTCAGACAGAGGTCTTGAGGTAGAAACAAACCTGAAGACAGTGGCGGGGACCCCAGTGTGGTGGAGGCAGGAAAGCCTCACAGGAGATGAAGTAGGGTGGGAACCTTGGTGGCTTGTCTTTTACACTCAGGACTTAAATCCTTATGAAGACTTAGGTACAGAGAGGGAAATGCCTGACTTAATTTTTTTTTTTTTTTTAAAGAGTTGAGGCTTGAACCCAGGACTTTGCTCATGTTAGGCAAACATTCTACCACTGAGCTATATCCCCAGCCTTGTATTTTTGCTTATGGTTTCAGATGCTAATCATGTCATGTGATGTAATTAGGAATTTCTTTTTAATGAGAATAAAGGAGTAGATAACATTTCTATGGGTTGAAAGGTAACACGTGTTCTCTTTGTTTAAATCTAAGGTCAGCTTCACCTTACCATGGCTTTACCATCGTCAACCGACTGAACATGCATAATCTGGTTGAACCAGTGAATAAAGATTTGGAATTTCAGCTCCATGAACCATTTCTTCTGTATAGAAATGCAAGTTGTGAGTATATCTGTTTGCATTTAACAGAGTGACTTTAATTTCAAAGCATTAGGTTTTGGAGTTTCAAATTATACAAAATATGGCATAATTATAAATCTGTGTCTTAGTAAAAGATCAAATTCTTTTTAAATGTATTAGTCTATGTGTATGACTGTGTATATGTATGTGTGCGTATATACCCCAGCCCATGTGTGGAAATGAGAGGACAACTTTCAGTAGTTCTGTCTTTCCACTGTGTGGGTTCCAGTATGGAACTCAGGTTGTCAGGCTTGAGGGCGAGTCTCTTCAGTGACTGTGCCATCTCACCATCCCCAAAACCAAACATTTTAAGTTAGCTCTAAAATCGAAAAGCCCTTTGCAAATAACTAACTTAGGTTATTTTAGTTAACTATACTATCTAGCCCAGTTGCTAATATTGTATTTGTTTCTGTTATGAAATGTCTAGTCCTTTGTTTTTGCTGTAGTGCTAAATTGTCTGCTCATGTCCCTGAGCAACAGAGCTTAGTCTGACAGACACAGAATGAGAGCAGAGACTCATGCTTTCCACAGAGAAAGTACTTTACCATGGATGGTGACACTTTTCAACCTGCTGGTTTAATAGTGTCTAGTGGGTACAAATACTATGCCAAAGCTGTCGTACTTTAATGATGGAGAGTAACCTGTGTGGGATACACAGGTAGTGTGGTGACAAAACTCAAGGTGAGTGGCATACATTTAGTTGGGGAGTTCTTGGCCCAAGGTCTTGTCAGATGTCTTTACAGGTTGTAATAGGGATTAAATTTAGTCAACAAAGCTCAGAGTAGCCCTTTCAAGGAGAGTGTGGATGTTCCTCACCTTGATAGGGGCATTACTTGCTGATAGAGTTATCATAAGTTGAAAGTTTGTTAACATACTTTAGCTACTGAACACCAGAGCTTAGCAACACAGTATACTGTAGAGTATCGGTTGTTCCCCACCGTGATCATATTGGATTGGGAACTGTAGCTGGTTGTTGCTCTATAGTACTGAGGGAGTATCCCACTGTGTTATTTCTATTCCTATCCCAAGGGAAACGTACAGTCCAAACAATGTGTTTTTTGTTTTTTTTACTTAGTACATACTAGTACATACTACTTTCCTAACATTTATAAGCAAAAAAACAAAACAAAACAAAAAAACCCTTAAATTAGATAATCATAATAGGATCATCTGAACAAAAAAGTATGGTTGAAGATCGAGCTGTAGCTCGGTGGTAGAACACTTAGCGTTCATGTGCTTTGCGTTAGATCTCCAGCAACTCGAGCATGGTTCTGAGAGTTCAGTACGATGTTAGAAGTGTAGCTGAGGACAGGGACAGTTTGCTTATTGTTGATCCAGGAGAGATATCAAAACAGAGTGGTGGAACTCTTTGTAAACCAGGTTGGCCTTGAACTCACAGAGATCTGTCTGACTCTGTTCTCAAGTGCTGGGATTAAAGGCGTGCGCACAGCCACCGCCACCCAGCATTTCTTGCTCATTTTTAAGTATCTATATAAAATAGGATCTATCTCTTGACTTTTCAGTAAACTGTGTCTCAGGATTTTAACTGAAAATTACCTCTTGGATTTTAAATCCTACAGGCTTATTACAGATACTTTTTGAGCTAGGAATGGTAGTATACATTAATAATCTCAGTATTTTGGAGGCTAGGCAGCCTGTGCTATATAATATAAGCTCCTATCTCAAAAATTTAAAAAAAATGCATGTTATTTAATACCTGTAAATTCAGGATTTATGTGAGAAAGAGTGGAATGTTACAAATGGCTGTTTTATGTTAAGTTTTCGTTATGGGAAAATTCTTCAAAAGGACACTTACTAAATGTTTAATATAAAATCAGACCGATTCTGCTTTTTACTGTTTGTCAGTTCTGTATTGCTCCAAGTCATTGGGGAAAATCAAGAGCCTAGTGCGCCTGATTACCATGTGGCACAAGCCTGAGTCCTTCAAGTCAGAGTCCCGTAAAACTGACTTACACGGGCCATGCTGGAGATGGAGCACTCAAGAGGCAGAGGCAGGTAGATCTGTGTTCAAGGCCAGCCTGATCCATAGACCCAGCCAAGGCTACATAGTGAAGCCCTATCTTTGAAAACCAAACAAAACAAAAAAGCAAATAGAACCTAACTTTCCAGAGTTTGAGTTATTTGAAAGTGATTTCGCTAATACACGTACAGAACAAATAAAGGCAGATTTATAAGCAAACAAGCTATTGTCTGGTTTTATTATATAACTTACCAGCTATCTAGACTGTAACTGGAATCAACAAAATTGTCAGTGTTCTGTAAGTTTAACCCCTTACAGTATCATAGATTACTCATAGCACTAATTGGCATACTCTTGTGGAAAAAACTGAACTAATGCTTTTACAAAGGCGAGAAACAAAGATTTCCTTACTTGAACAGAGAACTCACTTATCCAGGTTTTCCCACTGGGGTCAGCATTTAAAGGAGGAGCTTTATCAGAGATGGTAGGACAGCATAGGATGACATGGAGTCTTAGGATTCTGAGTATACATTGTCAAATGAGTCCTAGGCGTAGAACGCAGATTTGTCAGTCTGGGAGCTGTTGGGTTTTTTGGGGATTTGTCCATTAAGTATAATGTTAGATCTGATTATGCATTTGGGTAATTACACCTGATCTTAGAGCTGTTCTCTCATTCTTCTCCTATGGGAGATGCCACCAGGTCCGTGGCCCATTTAACTCAAATTATACTTTCATATCCAGCTTTATTTCACTCACGTCAAGTTTTAGCATTAATGTGGAAGGAACAAACAAACATGAACTGTAACTTCTTCTACTTCTAAACTATTTGATGTAGTTGACTTACTTTTAAGTTTTCTACAGAATACTTACCTACTTTACTCCCAAGGAGAGATAAAATCTTAAAGAAGATACTTTCATTGGATTTGGTGCTTCTCATGAATCTTTAAGAAATACTGTATTTTCATCCTGTCTTAACCTTTTGTAGCTGCACAAGGCTTTAATTGGACTTTTAGTAAAGACTTGAGGGGTTGCTGATCCTGTGGTTATTAAACTGCGGCAGCGTTCCTGTTTGGAAACATCTCTCTGGTTCCAAACTTAAAAAAATGAACAGACAAGATATTCAGATGTTCAGGAATTTGTTGAGGAGCTATGAAGGTAATAGATATAGCCTAGCACTATTGCTCTCCAAAGCCAGGGTTCCTTCCACTGCCGCAGCAGTAAAATCTCATAATTCAGACTAGGGCAGAGCTGTCTGCTAGAACTCTGTGGTGATGGAGGGCTTTTGTGCTAACACTGTCCAACATTGACACTGTCATATAGGACAGATGACTGAGCCATGATGTGCCTCATGTATGTCAGGAATGTGGATTTTAATCTGCTTAGCCCACCTGGATTTACATGTCACCCTGCAGTAGTGTGTGGCATACTGAGCAATGCAAATCTAAGCATGAATCTGTACTCCAGCAAACTTTTTATTGTGTCCTATTTAATAGGACGTGCACGTAGGAGGCTTTTATGCCTCCTGTTTAGTCATTCGTTTTTGAAATTTATAAATTATTCCTACATCCAAAAGCTGCAGAATACTTCCCTAAGAAGTATTTTACTATGTACTATTTACTAAGTACTTTTCTATGGTAGTTTGTTCTTTCTCTCTTTCTTTCTTTCTTTCTTTCTTTCTTTCTTTCTTTCTTTCTTTCTTTCTTTCTTTCTTTTTTTCGAGACAGGGTTTCTCTATATAGCCCTGGCTGTCCTGGAACTCACTCTGTAGACCAGGCTAGCCTCAAACTCAGAAATCCGCCTGCCTCTGCCTCCCAAGTGCTGGGATTAAAGGCGTGCACCACCACTGCCCAGCATGGTAGTACTTTCTTAAAATGGAGTTTGGTTTGCAGACAGTTCTAAGCTTTGCCATCTTACTATAACCTTGTAGGAACCACTTGACCCTGATCTGTTTGTCTGGAAAGGGTATTGAGAACATAAGGTATTTTGCCAACCACTTACAAATGCATCTCTATTGGAATGTATCTCCAGCTTAGACTCAAGCCAGTGGTCTTAGTAGTGAAGCAACTCTGAGTGCTTAGGCGTCCCAGACTCTTACGACCCGGCTTGTAGTGTCTCCTTTACCACTTCTCACAGGAAGTTTTTTTTCTCCACTCCTTCCCCCTATTTTTTACTGTGCTAACTCTCAAACCCAGGACCTTACTGAAATAAATTAAAGGGAAGAAAGAGAGGCAGACAGGACAGGAGGGAGGAAGGAAAGGAAACAAGAATGAAGGAAAGAGAGATAAGGGTAGCTAGATTGATTAGCTGTGAACTTTTAAATGAGATTATCAATGATTCATTGTGGGGCTGAGGAAATAACTCAGTGATAAAGCAGTTACCCACCATGCACAAAGCCCTAGGCTTGATTCTCAACACCACAAAAAAAAAAATATCTAGGATAGCCACTATAATTAACCCTGTCGAACTAGAAAGGGAGAAAAGCAAATAGAAACTCCAAAATAAAATGGCAGAATAAATCACTGGCTAGAATAGATACATACGGAATGTGCATGTTTTGTTGGAAATGGAGGATAGGCTGAGATGTTACCAGGCAAATTTTAACCAGGAAAAGTTACGGTAACTATATTAAGAATACATGACTGACAAAAAATATTAGTAGGGATACAAATATGAACAATTTTGAACCAGCTTGTACCTAGTACATGTGAAATTTACAAAATGAATGTTAAAAATCCGTAATCATTGCAAATTTCTATAAGGCTATGGGATAGTATACTTTGGCTCTCTAGGACCAGAGGTTAGGAAACAAAAAGAAATCTGAGTAGGGATAAAGGAGAATAAACATGAGAGTAGAAGTCGATGGCAGAGCGCAGAGACTGCATTGCCGACCCACAGCGCAGACCCACAGAGCAGAGGCCTCACCTATAGGTAACCTGATGGATCATCAACAATAAGAATAACCAGAGGAGGTGTGCTGGGCGTGCTAGGAATACATAACCCA